CTCAACAATGATAAATTAATGAATATTGTTGTCCTTGCTATTAATCAAAAATATTTGTAAAATGCCTTTTCTCACATATGACTTTGTAGAACTTTTAAAGGACTACAATCTCATATGCGTAGCATCTCCGATCATCTTGTGGATGTGAATATGGATGGATGCATGTGTGAATGTGTAGTCGCCTATCAGTAAATTGATTCTAATTCTTTCAGAGTCTTATGAAAATAGAATTTACTATATACCATTAGATGCATCTCGAAAAACTCTACAACATAGTATACTTGGTTTCTCATTTTTGAATAGGACGCCTTATCGAAAGAGTCTTTTAAACATGGTGATCAGAACTTTTGGTACACCCTAAGTAATCTGAAGAAATTCCATTTTCAAGTGATTTCAAGAAGCTATATAAAAAATAGTGTGTGTTTGTCCATTGCCTTCAGCATTCTACTCAAATTTTGGTCCAGCTTCTTTTTTTCGTTATTGATTTTCTCTATAGATCGGCAAGAATTGTTAGTTGTTTTGTTTCCAAGAATAGTTCGAATATGTATATAAATTATCACTCGACGAAAGAATAAGGCCTTTTAATACACACAGCTTTTCATTCTCCCCAAACCTAGTTTCTGAGTAATATCGATAATAGTCATGATCTTTTATTCTTATTATCTCCTTGTCATCAGTTTATATCTCTTCCTATATTCTGTTTCTTCGAAAAAGCAAAATAATGTATTGTAAGGATAGCTATGTCTCTTGTTCTTTTATGCCCTTTATGTTTTATTGATGAACTTATAGTGTTATGAAGAAGTTGAATGAAAAAGACAAACAAAAACATGCTGAGTATTTTGTTTAGATAAATATTTTTTTACAGAACTATTTGATTTTTTCTGTTCATGAATTAAAAGTTCTTTGAATAAATTTCAGCCGTCCCTTTTAGTCACCAAAAAATTATACGATAAGTGGCGCTATTAGAAATAAATGATATAACACATATTTTTCCGACATATTGAGTTTCATCCAAAAAATTCAGATTCATTTATAGAAAAAAAAAACAAGAACTTATAGAAAATTTATCAAATCAAAATACTGATTATGTTGACGCGCACTACTTTTAGAAATATCATACCGTATATTGCTATAGTCGGAAATATCGCATTGTACAACTCTATAATTAGTAATATTACACTGTACAGCCCTATAGTTAGTAATATGTAGGAGTGTTGGCTTAGCATTAGCATTGCATTATTAAATGCAAATTTTAATACTTTTGTATTAGAGTTAAAAAATTAACTTAATGCTCTTGTGTTAGAATTAAAAAATTAATTAATACTTTGGCATTAGTATTAGAAAAGTATTAGTCTAATACTAGTGCCTATAGTTCCTGAAAACAGAACAAAATTGCTCCGTTATACTAGTTTTTTTTCTCAAAACAGAACACTTTTGTTCCGTTATGGGAAGTTGTTCCCAATAAAAAGCAAGTGTTCTGTTTTAGGAAAAAAATTTACCATAATGGAGCAATTTTGTTCTGTTTTCAGGAACTATAGGCATTAGTATTAGACTAATACTTTTTTAATACTAATGCCAAAGTATTAAATTAATTTTTTAATTCTAACACAAGAGCATTAAGTTAAATCTTTAACCTAATGCAAAAGTATTAGCATTTTCCTAATACTAATGCTAAGCCGACACCCCTAGTAACATCACTTCGTATACCCCTATAGTTAAAAATATCGCACCCTACGCTCCTATAGTAATTCACATCACTTTGTATGTCGCATCGTTAAACATATTACACAGTGCACTCCTATAGTTAGTAACATCACTTCGTAATCTTCTATAATTAGAAATATCGCATTGTACAACTATATAATTAGTAATATCACATTGTACACTCCCATAGTTAGTAACATCACTTTGAATGTCATAAGTTAGAAATAACGCATCGTATAGCCTGAATAAAAATCTCATAAATCGAAGCAAACTGACAACAGGACATATTCGATTGTCCTTCCTAGAATAATTTTCGCACTATCTAATTTCATTGAGACTTCTACTCTGATACTAACGATGATTGTATCGACTACTCAGATTCGCATTCTAAGATTTGATGAGCCTATTTTATCGTTGTTTCTTATGAAAATCTTGTTCTATCGATTTATCTGTATTACTTATCTGATCGTATTTACATCATTTTATTATATTTTTCTTAGTAACTTCTTTTCCAAAAGTTCCAAAGATGTCAGGAAAGATAAGACCTAGTCCATATAGCAAAAGTTGAAGTGCAGTTGGCATACAAGTGCACCTTCTACTTGATTTATATTCAAACTTTTTCTTAGACTTTAACGGAACACTACGGTATGTCAACTGTACTTTGAGTTTTGCTGTACTAAATACGACTTATCTTTTCTGAAATCTTTGAAACTTTTGGGAAAGAAGTTACTAAGAAACAGTGCTGGACAAAGTTCTGGGACAAAGTTTTCCCTTGTATAACTTTTGGTTAAGAAG